AATATCGCCACGACGGGCGAGTCACGTTTAACCGCATGGTTCACAATTCGTCCGATAAAAGGTTGCTAAAAAGCGTGGAGCGTGGAGTCAGGTCGTGGTACGATGCACAAAGAGCACGCAAGAGTACGCACATTAGAAGCGTGCTTTCTCATCGTACGCACTGGTCACACTGGTCGCGCGATGAACATAACCTATACACGTCGTCGCTAATGATGGCTCGAGCCGCAGGCGACGACAAGGATCGACGCGCCTAGCACCGAGACACGAGGGAGGCGAGGCTAAACCAGGCTTAGGCTAGGCCGAGCCGAGTTAACCTAGGCTAGACTGAACTGAGCTAAACGATGCGGCGGCGGCGGCGGCAACGTGTAGCGGCGCGTCGTGAGAAACGCGGGTGCGGTTCGGAGCGCGGCGATCGAACCTTCGTCGCGCGTCAATGAGGACGTCAACGCGCGACAACCATGACGAAAAAAAAACGCGACGGTTGTTGCGCGAATTCCAAAGAGCAAACAAACAACGATACCATATCGGCTCCCAGGTCCTTCATATCGCAGTAGAGAAACAGATCCCCCGGTGGTTTCATCCAGTCGCCTGTGTTTGCACCCGCCCCCTGACTGTACCCTATTCCGAAACTCTCCACCGTCTCCAAGGTCGTCGTGGCGTCGTCGGCGCGGTGCGTCGTCACCTCCGAGAGATAGCGTGATACCGTTAACCCCGTGATACGGCGCGTACGTACAACCAAAGTACACCAGCAACAACGACAACGACGACGACGTCGTCGACGACGACGACGACAGCGGCGACGGCGACACGCGGCAACACTTTTTTCTCCTCTTCCTTCTCACACGCGGCGCACTGTTATACCCGGCGAATCGGTGGCCGGCAATCGATGGGGATACGACGACGACGACGGCGGCGGCAGCGGCGGCGGTGGTGGTGGTAGTGGTGGCGGTGGTGGCGTCGGTGTTGGCGTCACCAACCCCCGTCGCGGCGCGCTGAAGGCGGCGGCGATCGTCGTCGACGACGGCGACGAATGCACGACGACCAACGAAATCACACAAACACAAGGATGATGATGATGATGATGATGATGATGATGATGATGATGATGATGATGATGATGATGTCGTCGTCGTCGTCGTCGTCGTCGTCGTCGTCGTCGTCGTCGGCGCTACTCCACCCCCGAACGTCGTCGTCGCCTCGATTTTTCGACACGTCTCTCGTCCCTTTTGTTTCTTGTTTGCGCACGAGTTGACTCGACGATGCACCTTTTCACTCTCTTTCTCACTCTTCTCTCTGTATCATGCAGCAAAGCCGCGCGCGAATAACGTTATACCACCGCGAGTCAACAATGCAAATCGTGGCGCGAGCGCAACACGCACACGACACACCAGAGCTAGTGTCACCTCCACACTTGATGTGTATACATATACATGTGTATCAAGCCACAGAAGTACGCACCAGCAGACACGTATACACACCACCCGTCGCACGCACGCGCGATACACACGCGTGAATTGGAGACCGACACACGCTCGCACGAGGGGACACTAACGAAGAGCGAGGGACACGACGAAAGGAGAGACAAACGGAGGGAAGGCGAAGCCAACAGTGAGAGAAGAGCAGAGCAGAGCAGAGCACAGAAGAGAAGAGAGGAGAGGAGAGGGAGTGGGGAGGGGGGAGAGAGAAAAGCGTTCTGTCAAACACACTTCGTTGCTGCTTCGACACTTCCGATACACTTCCTCTGTTGCTCGACACGATATCCCTGTACTCTACTTCTCTCTCTCTCTCTCTCCCTCTCCTTTTCCACACTACTGGGACTATTGTTACTGGTTACTACCAACAGCACATCACCTCTTCCTCCTTTCTCCTCTCGCGCGCACACTGTACACACTCTAGATTTACTAGCTCACGCGGGACACTGTCGCGCGTTTTATTTACAGAGGGAGCGAGTCGGGCTGCGATTCGAATTGCTTTCGCGGCAATGCAGTCATCACGTCCATCTGAACATATCGCGCGGGACGTGTGGTCGCGTTCTTACTCTCGGCAAATCTTTCTTAGGGATGTGCTTCGTCGTTCGTGCGCGAATTCTCGCTGCAAAGGTTGTCTTGTCTTGTCTCGTTTCGTCTCGTTTCGTTTCTCGTTCGCTCGTTCTCGTCGTCCTGTTCCTTTTCCTTTCACCTTTATCACTCTCTCTCTCGTCCCTCGCTACCACACGCCACGAATTTTCCGTCGCACACCGGGCTACACGCTTCGTCCGACGAAGACTGCGCTTCAAACCGAAACAAAGAACGACGCTCTTGAGAGTGGCGCCGCAAGCGGTTCCTTTGCTAAGCTGCCGGCATGACGCCACATGCGGACGCGACGCCGTCACCGTCACTTTTCGACGATTGGTCGAAAATTCAAAAGCCAGCTTCACCACACAGTCTTATTAATAAATCTGAGAAAAAGGGTACTATGTGTGTGATGTTTCTCTATGATGTTTGAACCGCGATCGAAAAGTACGAACGCAAGTCCTGACTTACTGATCTAGCAAGTTGTACATTCCTCCCGACTTCGACAAAAATTTGTTTATCTCATTCAAAATTTCTCGATAAAACGCAGCTTATAGTTGTCATGTATTGACTTATGAATCAATGAATGAAGAGTCGAATCTTCCGATAAAATAACAAATAACAATCACAGTATCATCTAAAAACATCTAAACCAAGTCCTGTCCTACTACCAACACTCCACCTATTTTCTATATTTTCTAGAAAAAGTTACGAGAATTTTGAAATAAATTGTAAATGATTTTCTGAGATTTCGGGACGATATTTCAGCAACTCCATGCACCGAACATTTTTTTACTCAAATATGAGTTCTAACGTCTTTTTTGTGAATAGATAAAAAGATGACGTTAGACCGCCTACCTGAATCCAATTTTTCCAATAGAGCCATAAATTCTTTCTAATATAAATTTCTTTTTATTTCAAATTACACTAGAGAAGTCAACAAACAAATTCCAAGAAACGTGATAACGTAACAAATAGATTGGAAATAAATCGATTTAAGAAAGAAAACATTCTCAATATCTCCGATCGTTTTAATATATATTTCTCTTTCGTCATTGTAATTCTCGGTCATTAAGAGAGGTATCGGCCACTGCCAATAAGGTTATAAAATATATGAAAGATTGTTCGCTCCTGGTTTCAGTGAAATGAAACGAAATGGACGCGCAATAATCGCGACGTTGGGAGATTTACTACGCGAGCACGCTATGCATGCGCGCGCGCGCGCACACACACACACACACACGCACGCAATAAAAGCAGCCGTCAAGCGTGATATAAAATTTTTCAGGCATAATTCAATGGTGACGTCGTTTACCGCGGAATATTTTATACACGCGGGGTAAAAATATGATACAGCTGCGACAAATAAAATATGAGATCCCGGTATCGGGAACAGCAGATCACTTATTCACGAATTCAAGTCAGTAGTTACCTTTGGCTGCATTATTGAACAAAAAGGTAAGAAATACGAGTAAATATATTCAAA